CGATTCATTACACTGCCCCATGATTCGCTAACAACCTCAAACATCATTTTTAGCGATCTGTGTCTATTCGAATCAAGTTTTAACCATCACACCGCGTTCTTCTTCGTCATGCGTCGTTGCGTCTTTAGAGATGGAGAGAATCGGAAGCGGTCCGCTGGAGACACTGGCTACTTCACACCGCTGCGGTGTGTTATACTCCTCTCGAGTTCTGAGCAGCTGCTTACCTTCGTGTCATACTGGATACTACAACTGTTACTAGCGTTAGCACTGTAGAAACAGTTTAGAACGTATCATTTTTAACTGAATAACGCTCGTTACATAGTCCTTATTTTTTATGCTTATTGGTCATCTACAGGCCACTTCAAAAGTGAAAAAATCTTGACAATTCCTGTATTAATTTTGTCAAACTTCAACGCCACGCTTGCCGCACGACATGGACTTGCTCGTTGGCGCGATACTTCGATACCGGGGCGCGAGCTGCCCCCATAGTAGGAAATAGAAGTAGTTGAATGCGAGCGCGACTGCGGTTGAGTGTCGCCCGCTGGAAGCCGTCTGGTGCAATCCCTCATAACACCCCACACAGGATAGAGGTAAAACAAAATAGTATCATTTCCATATTTAGGGCTATATTCATAATCACTACTCAGTATTAATGTATTTCCCTTCTAGACAGCTCATGGGTGAAGATACTGAGTTGTGACCACATTGGTAGCATAAACGATGCATATTCAACACCGGAAATGTCTTTCTCTACACACCATTGCGGGCATGGACTTCAAAGGGTAAAAACGCTTTGACGTTCTGTGTGGGTGGTCGGGTCGGACTTGTACGCCGAATGATCCACCGGCTTTCTCAAAAAAGTTCAAACTAGTAGCGACCACCCACCATAAATGTACATGTGACCCATCGGGGCAGCCAGCCAACCCACCTAGACATTCGTTGTGCAGTGTTCGACCACGTTAAGTAGCATACGACCTACCCCCCCCCCTTTGCGCTACTGCTTCCTTGAATACCGATGCTGATAATGCCTCAGCAACAAGCTGGGCGTCCACGGGTTCGCCGACTCGGTGGTTACCAAGGACAGCCAAGAGCTCATCATCGTCGAAGCCAAGCGTCAGGCAATTCCTACTCGTCGGGCCAAGCACAGCTGCTCCTGGCAGCGTAGATGGCGCTTGAGAGAAAGCTTCAGCAGAATTCCTCCGACGGTACATGCGTCTACGGACTCCTCATCGGCCCGTTGGCGTGGATGTGGGTGTACCTGGACAGCAAGGAGGGGCGCTTCTGCCGGACATTGCTTCAGCCGGACGACCTACAGCCAAGTATCTACATGATGGTGACGATCGCGCGTGCAATCATGTGGGAAAGTCTCATTATCAAGACTTCGCAGCAGTTGCGAACAAGGACCATTTACATCGCGCACGTGCACCGCAGCGGTGTAGACATGAAGCAACGCTGGATCTCCCAAGGATTATGATACATCAATCGCCCACCATGCTGATCCATGCTGGATTGGAGGTCTGGTCGGATGAAACAGCAGGGTCTACAAAATCGATTCATTACACTGCCCCATGATTCGCTAACAACCTCAAACATCATTTTTAGCGATCTGTGTCTATTCGAATCAAGTTTTAACCATCACACCGCGTTCTTCTTCGTCATGCGTCGTTGCGTCTTTAGAGATGGAGAGAATCGGAAGCGGTCCGCTGGAGACACTGGCTACTTCACACCGCTGCGGTGTGTTATACTCCTCTCGAGTTCTGAGCAGCTGCTTACCTTCGTGTCATACTGGATACTACAACTGTTACTAGCGTTAGCACTGTAGAAACAGTTTAGAACGTATCATTTTTAACTGAATAACGCTCGTTACATAGTCCTTATTTTTTATGCTTATTGGTCATCTACAGGCCACTTCAAAAGTGAAAAAATCTTGACAATTCCTGTATTAATTTTGTCAAACTTCAACGCCACGCTTGCCGCACGACATGGACTTGCTCGTTGGTGCGATACTTCGATACCGGGGCGCGAGCTGCCCCCATACTAGGAAATAGAAGTAGTTGAATGCGAGCGCGACTGCGGTTGAGTGTCGCCCGCTGGAAGCCGTCTGATGCAATCCCTCATAACACCCCACACAGGATAGAGGTAAAACAAAATAGTATCATTTCCATATTTAGGGCTATATTCATAATCACTACTCAGTATTAATGTATTTCCCTTCTAGACAGCTCATGGGTGAAGATACTGAGT